ACTGTCTTCTTTCGAATTCCTTGGCTCGCAACCAACCAAGGCATTAGCGAGGAAAATCGCTTCCACTAGTTCATTTGTCTCAGTGTCGAGCTGAAGATCTGTTCAACGATATGTACTCCATGCTTAATCTGGATTAGTTGACGACCTTTTCCTCAACCATCGTATTTCTATCTTGCTTTTTAGCGCATCTCATTTTTCGCTAGTTTCACTAGTTCAGTATATGTGTTTTTTACTTACAATACCATGTTTCACTCATGAAATTTACAAAACGTACTAAGTTGCCAAGGCTTGCCGTGTCTGGGCGCCCGTGCCGCGAGTGGGTCCTGAGTCTCATCAAACTCACATGATAATCTGACCGTTTCTCCTTGCACTTTGCATATTGCATGGCGGATGGCCCCGCTGTGCATATTACAGGATCGTGCATTCAATGGCGAGCATGACAATATACAAAGTAGGGGACCAAGCGCGACAGCTTCGTCTACGGCTTGCTCCACGCTCCACTAATGACAGCCCATAGTCTCATATATCGGGAACTGGATCGACACTTCTCGATCGTGTTGATCAACAGAAAGACCGAGTTTTGAGTCCTGTTGAGCGGGATGGGGTGGGGAACTCTCGAACTCTCGAACTCTTCGGAATGATAACAAGGAACGTGGAGTCCGAAAGTACACGTTGCCCTGTTAATCCATTTCTGCTGGCCTCCCTTGCTGCTGCAGGGATGGCATAGTACGTAGTACATATAGTGCACCCATATGTACCATGTACATGCCACTTCCAAGGTTGTTAAGCAAGGCGATAAGCCCCACTTACTTAGCTTACCTTTTACGGGTTCCGCCGGCCATCCCGATCTTCAATTGTTGCTTTTAATTCTCCCTGGTCTCACATATCTCAGCTCCAGCTCCAGCTCCAGCTCCAAGACAAAGTTTACCTAGATTATTTGTATATTAACTGTCCGTTTTCGGGTGGTCTCGGGAGCTACCAATGCCGGCGTCCGTCCAGTCACATCGACCGAGGTATTCCGAATTGCGTCGAATTTCAAAATAGCCAATGGGAACACTTCGAAGGATCTACAGACTGAGGGGAAGATTCTTGAGCTCGGGCTGGACCACGTTCCTGGTCAATGCAAGGCAGGGCCACTATCAATTTGCTCCGTACTTTTTGTGTCTGTGCAGCATAGAGTATCTCCACACAGTGGAGCCTTCTCATGGATCCATTACTTCCTTAACAAGACCGGGAACGTAACTGCAGGGTTTCGCGATTTCGCGATTTCCCGAAATCCTCAATTGCCCTAAAATGTGCAAGGCGTCTTTTGGTGTATTTTGGCCGGCTCGGAAAAAATAAAACTAAAATAAAATAAAACACTCTGGTTTTATATCCAATCTTCTTGGTCCCTTCTCCCTCCTCCGTCTTCTCACATCCAGCAATGGCAGACCCCGAAAAGAACGACCTGTCCATGCCGGAACCCCCGGCCAGGGCCATTGTCGCAGACCATGAAATTATCATTGATGATACCTTTTCCGAAGAGGTATTGAAAGAGGCCTCTAAAGAGGCTTCCAAAGAGGTCCCATCCAGTGGCTACGACTCTCCCGACACTGATCTGGAGGCTCAGCCCACAGAGCCCCGACGAAAGCGATTTGCGCATTTCAGATATGCTGTGTTTACTGTTTATCGACGGCTCTTCACTTTCGTATTTTTCGCAAATCTCGCTGTTTTCCTCTACGTGGTGATCTGTGATCGAAAGCTCCTCTCACTCGTGGATGCGACTGCCGTAAATTTGCTGGCCTGCGGTCTCGCCCGACACCCCATGATGGTGAATGCCATTTATAGAGTGGTGTGCTCGATTCCTCGAACTGCACCCTTGTCCTTGCGTCGTAGGGCTGCTAAGGCAGCTCACTACGGTGGTGTTCACAGTGGTTGTGGGACTGCATCTTTGGTGTGGTATATTGGATTTGTTGCCGTGCTGTCACAAATGTATTGGCAAAACATTCCTATCAGTTCAGCAACAGATGCATGTTTCTCAGCTGCGCCAATCGCCGTGGCCTACTTCACTCTTGTGCTACTTTTCGTGATGGTAGTCGTGGCATACCCAGCCTTCCGCAGGAGGATGCATGATTACTTTGAGCTCACCCATCGATTCACTTCATGGCTGATCTTGGCCCTTTTCGTGGCTCTAGTCATGATATTTGCTCATGAATCGAGTAATGCAGCTCAGGAAAGTCTTGGCCACTTCCTCATTACTCTTCCTGCATTTTGGCTGTTGATTGCGGCTATCATTGCCATAGCCCATCCATGGCTACTTTTGCGCAGGGTTCCAGTACAGGCTGAGCCCCTGTCTAACCATGCTGTACGACTATCCTTTGATTTCACCCAAATCAGCTTCGCAAAGGGTGTCCAGGTCTCCAAGCATCCTTTGCGCGACTGGCACAGTTTTGCCGGCTTTCCAGACCCCATTCCAGTTGTTGAGAATGCACCTCAGAAGAATACGCCTGGCAAGAAACCATTTGTCAAGGGCCACGGGCATAAGAGGAGTTGGTCTATCGTTGTGTCAAAAGCAGGCGATTGGACGGCTGATACCATCAGTAAACCGCCAACCCATCTCTGGAAGCGCGGGGCGCTGATGCGCGGCGTCGGATACGGCCTTCGTGTTTTCGACCGTATTATCATAGTGACCACTGGGTCCGGGATAGGTCCATGCCTCGGGTTCCTAGGCGACGAAAACCGACCCGAGATCAAGGTCATTTGGCAGACACGTGACCCGTTGAAGACCTATGGCCAGGATGTCCTGGATCTTGTTCACAAGATGAGTCCAGACCCGATTATCTTCGATACCAGTCGCGTTGGCCGTGTTGACATGCTTCCTGTCATTCGACAGCAATTCAAGGAATTTAGAGCAGAGGCGGTATTTGTGATCAGCAACCCTGCTGTGACTCAAAGTATTGTTTATGAGTTTGAATCCCAAGGGATTCCAGCCTACGGGCCAATTTTCGATTCATGATTCATGAAAGATGAAAGATGATATATGTTGCCTTGTGTATTTTGGGCCAACTATGACATATGATATGATCTACATTTTGTTATTTAATTTGAGCTATAGATCGGCTTCTCGTCACAATATCTATACTAGAGTCAAGTCCATTAATCCAAAAGTTTCATAAAATTTATTCAATCTTAACCCAACATAGGTAGAACTTTGTGGGATGTCTTGCCATCACTATTTCGTATCGCAATAGGTTTCGGAGGCGTACGATGTAAGTAGTAAAAGCCATATTAATGTGTGCTATATGTTGAAATGTACAGTATAAACTATACGAAGCATGTACGAGATATATTTTGTAAAGATGATGCCAGAAGTATATGTAGTATCAAGAAATAAATTGGAAACTGTCCAACCTCTCAATGCCTGGCAAGAAGCGATATCTATGGGCCTCCTCCTAAAGATGCAGATAAAGGTCCCTCATATGAATTTGTAATGGAAACATGAATGGAACGCAGAGAGCAAGGGATTCCGAGGGAGGAAGTATGTTGAAGCAATTTGAACGGAGTGTGAAATGAAATCTCATCCTGAGATGCAATCTTGATGCATGTTATATGCAAGAATGGGTGAGGATGGTATGTATCAACCTGCATCAAAGCCGCTAATCTCGATTTCGTAGGAGTCAGGATTCTTGGCATGCAGCCTGAATCAAGGTTGGCGTTGAGATCATCCCAAGGCCCATTAACCACTGAGAATTAACTGGGATTCTGAAGAGAATATGAAGAGAAACAGTTAAGTACAGGATGGTCTCTCGGTTGATGTTTATACATTGCGCCCTTCCTCACAATCACCGCGCGCGCCACCTAACAATTCCGAGGTAGAGAGAAAGCTAGAGAGATCACATCTGCGGAGCAATTTGCTTTTGATACTGGATTCTGAAAAAGCTGGAAAGTAGATGGAGAGCCTTAACATGTGACTTTGAATAATAGGAGTTCGATGTAGCATGTGGATGAAACATCCAAAACTGGTCGATGATATTCATCAAATTATCAGTGTGTAGTAATTAGATGTTCGCCCTGCAATCGATCAATGGTATACTCATGTAGCCAAGAGGACTCCAAGGCACCTTTAGCACCTACGAGTTCTTGTGAGCGCACCCATGAAGCCATCTACTTCGCACGCTCATCTTCATCAATAGATCCATCGTATAGGAACAGACATGAGGACACTATAGCGACAAAATGTTGCAGGTATTCCTCTGAAATGATTATATTGACATTCTGCCCTTCCGTGCAAAGCTTGTTTCGCCCAAAATGAAAAATTAGTGGCAGAAACTATGGCGAAAATCTAATTAACGTATTCCACATGCGAGTGGTCCACGCCAAAACACATAGTAAAAGCGATAAATTACAGCATGTTAGTGCAACAATGATTGTCTATATAAACTGTTTCTTATAACCTAGTACATTCTAAATGGTATATAGCCACTTTATAGAGTTTTAGGGGATTAAAGAAATAAGTGATTGAGATACATATCTGGAGTTCAGCAATGTAATTTTCAATACGATAACAATATAGTTGTTTGATTTATTTGAACTTGACATATAACACTAAAAATACTTATCGATTGCTATCGGCCAGTCATAAAATTAAATAAAAACGTTGGTTGTTGAAATACAAGTGACAGCTATATCACTTTTACTATGTGTTTTGTCGTGGACCACTCGCATGTGGAATACGTAGAAAGGCCGTACTAAATTTTCAGGTCAGATTAGCTCCCTATTTTTTTATGTACAACCTAGGGAATTCTGAAGTGCCTTTTGTTCATTTCGATACGTTCTCTTAGAGGTTTGTCTGATAATTACCCCAAAATAAGTTTATGAGACATTTCTAGGCTATCTGGTACTTTTCTCAAACAAGCTTAGGTGTTAGCGGGGTAGAGGCGAAATCCAAATCAAGATCTTAGGATATCTCTCTAGCCTGGATATAAATCGGTTCTCTTTTAGCCCATAACTCTACCCACAACATGCATTCACGTCGCAGTCGACAGTTAAAAAACCGCACACAGAGATGGGTGACGATCCAGGACCTTGTCCCATCTCTACCTGCAGCCCCATTGACGTCGCCCCTATTTACCGTCTTTCCCCCCGAGATCCGCAATCGCATTTATACCCTTGCTCTGGAGTCTGAGGATGTACTCTCAGACGACAATCCTCACTCTGTATATCAGCAAAATGAATTCTACTACCGGCCTGGGTACAAGCAGCCTAAGCGCATCCAAACCGCCCTCCTTCAGACATGCCAGCAAATCTATGGCGAGGCATCCCTCCTCCCACCAGCAATCAATGAGCATACTTTCTGGTTCTATCGGTCTCCGCCGCATGTCAATGACGCCTCATCGCCGCTCAATTATTTTCGCAAAATGACTCCGAAACAACGGGCTCAGGTCCAGCATATACACCTTTTCACCCAGCAGTATTTCCTAGAGGACAATAATTGGTCCCAGATATGGGATGGGCTAACGATAGGCAACGATGGGCCAAGTTTGCCAGGGGAGTGCAGGATCGCGCCGAAGAAGATCACCATTACGCTTCGCCACACGGACTGGTGGTTCTGGGAGAACAATGACCCCTTGGGCATCGACCCGTTCCGGCCGGGGAGAACCCGTGCAGCCGAGATGGGGGAGGCTGTTTCCCCAGAAAACGCAGCGCGGTCATGGGGGAATCGATTCAGCTCTATCCCCTGTCTTGAGGAACTGGTGATCGAGTTCGAGACGATCATGCGGAAGAGAGACCAGTTAGATGCCATCATACAACAAGCTTTCGAGTGGAAGTTTCCCGTGCAGGCAGATAAGGGCTTGTATCTGGTTGCTGACTTCAGGTCAAAGAGCGCATATACTTGGGCTGGGGCGAAAGAGGCGGAGCTGAAAAGACAAAGACGTGTAGGGCAATTCAACATTGAGGCTGAGTCAGAATCCCAATCTGGTCAGGAACAGGAGCCTGTTCTTGCGGCCCCGGCTTTGGTGCCATTTGATCCTCAATCCAACTTGGGCAGAACTAGCGATATTAGTCTTGGAGATCACCCCCTGTTACCTGACACAAATGCGGAGGAGTTTTATGTTATTTTCTTGACTTGGAAGAAACAGCGAGTCCAGGAGTAGGCCACCCATCTCAGTCTCATCTATTGTACCGGTCTCATTTGTCCATACTATACAACTGCCGTTCAGTCCCCAACTTAGTCTTTACAGCCCCCGGTCGCTGACCGCGGGGTAATTAAAAAACTCAGCTGATGTAGCTGGTTTCAACTTTCACATTTGCAATGTCCTGAAGAAACTGGCATTGTTCTTTTCTACCTACAGCCTCCCGAGTTTAGTTTAACTGGAACTCATCAATACACATTGTTTTCCACCATGTCCAGCATCAGGAGTCAAGACAATGCCACTCTATCCACTCCCAATGCGGGGGTTGATCCCACCCAACTAGTCGAAATGAAAGCCCGCTACGAAGAAGAAAAAAAGAAACGTCTCCGCGACGACGGCAACGCACAGTTTATCGAAGTCGCAAAGTCAGCTCAGTATGAGCGTTTCGCCGATGATCCGTGGGTTGACCCGACAGCAATCCAACCCCTCCAAGTCAAGTTCCCAGAGAAGCGAAGCGAAATGCTCATCATCGGTGCCGGATGGGGTGGGATCCAAAATGCCGTCCGCATGGTCGAGGCCGGTATACCATCAGAAGATATCCGCATCATCGACCCGGCCGGCGGCTTTGGTGGCACCTGGTACTGGAATCGGTATCCTGGGCTCATGTGTGACATTGAGAGCTATACCTACCTCCCATATCTGGAGGAGACGAGATATGTACCTAAGCACCGGTATTCTCAAGGCGAAGAGATCCGGGAGTACGCCAATCTTGTTATGAAGAAATGGGGATTGGTAGACTGTGCTGCTTTCCAAACCCAAGCGCAGAAGATTGTTTGGGATGATGATGCCAAAGAGTGGTCGGTAAATCTAATCCAGTGTCGCAAGGGCCAGTCTCCAGAGACTCTGCAGATTCGCTCCAGGTTTGTCACCATTGCTGCTGGTGTACTTAACTGGCCCAAGCTACCGAACATCCCGGGGATTCTGGACTACCAAGGTGACATGTTCCATTCTGCCCGTTGGGCATACAATGTCACTGGTGGATCGCCCAAAGACCCTTCGCTTGCTAAATTGAAGAATAAGAAGGTCGTGATCATCGGCACAGGAGCAACGGCGGTGCAAGTTGTTCCGCAGCTCGCAAAATGGTGTAAGCACCTCTATGTCGTACAGCGGACGCCGGCTTCGGTAGACGTTCGTGATCAGCGAGAGACTGACGAAGAATGGTTCCACAAAGAGGTTGCACGATCGAAAGGATGGCAACGAGAGCGAATGCGGAACTTCCACCAACACTTCACTCTTGGAAAAGTGCCAGCAGTCAACCTGGTCAACGATGGGTGGACCCGCGCTCCTGGATTAGTTGGTTTAACTGGGTATACAGAAGGACCCAGATCACCCGAAGATATACCAGAATACACGGCAAGATTGATTGATATTGACGCTCCCCGTCAAAACCGCATCCATGCTCGCGTGGATGAAGAGGTGAAGGATCCTGTCACCGCAGAGAAACTCAAGCCCTGGTATCCTGTATGGTGTAAACGTCCTTTATTCCACGACGACTACCTCAAAACCTTCAACCAAGACAACGTGACTCTTGTTGATACCAACGGCAAGGGCATTGACCGAATGACGACAGACTCTCTAGTCATTGGCGACAGGTCCTACCAGGCCGATGTAGTCATCTTTGCGACAGGCTTCCTTGCGCCGCCCGCTGGTACCCCATCCGAGAAAGCAAACATGCCAATCATAGGCTTGAATGGAGTCTCCATGAGTGAGGAATGGCCTCGCTCAGGCCCGACAACCCTACACGGTGCCATCGATGCCAAATTCCCAAATCTCTTCCTCTCTGGACCTCAGCAGGCCTCTACAAGTGGAAACTATTGCTTCAATCTTGACGAGTACGCGAAGCACATCTCGTATATATTGACTGAAGCGAAGCGTAAGGCCAATGGTGCGCACTTCGTTGTTGCCCCGTCCACTGAAGCAGCAGAGGATTGGGGCATGCAACTTATGATGCATTCTGCGCCAATGGGGGTTGCAATTGGATGCACACCGGGATACTTTAATCTGGAAGGTGACCTTGATCGTATGCCACCCAAGCAACAGATGGTCTTAGCACGGTCGGGTATTTGGGGCTCGGGAATCGAACATTGGCTTGGGATTATTGAGAAGTGGCGAGCTGAGGGTGACATGAAGGGTATCTTGGTGCGTTGAGCAAGGGCTCGGCATGATGGAAGAAATCTCGATTCACACATAGCAGTATATACTAACTAGTCTAAACCGATTATACACCACAATGCCTCGTTAGACCATGAGACATATGATAGCAATTATTCGGTGTAAGAGGCCGCATTTTGGGCTCTATAATGGACTGCACATCTGGCTATATAACTAGGTAATTCAACGAGGGCCACATCTATCGCTCAGTCGCCTCCGCTCAAACTCCTCGGTGATTTGGGGGTCAATCAAAATCTCCAGGCCATACAGCCATGAACTGCATGCAAGCTATTGCAGCTAATTCCCTAGATACCGAGAGCCCGAAACATCTGTTACCGGAGCACAGTATTACTGCCAACTTCGATCTTGCTACCCAGCATTGGCGGATCGTTTCAATCTTTTACTGAAGCACTGCATTTTTCCAAGTAAATCAAGCTCGGGTACACAAGAGTCTAGAAAACAGAAGAAACTACCCAATCTATAAAATTCTGGAGTGGACCCGATTCACCAACTGCTCAACAGTGTCGACTATGTCATCTAGCAACAACACAGCAAAGTCCGACCAGCTCTCAACAGTGACAACTTCAATGCACAGGTTATCTCCCTTCGGGAATGCTTGCACTTTAATTTCCCGCAATGGCTCGAAATGCGGGTAGATGGTCTGCATGCGACTGCTGGCCGCCATGAAAGACAGATCCTCAACGTGCTCCACGTCCTGGTGCACGACAGAATCAAACCAGTCAATAGTCTCTGGCCAGTCGGTGCAGTCCTTGATAATTTCCTTAAGACCGATTCCTTCGAATTGCGCGCTCTCGAGATGTTGTCGCTGGACGAATCGCAAAAGATCCATAGCACTCCATTCATCCGCAAACTTCACCCGCACCGGTACATACTGCCACGATGGTCCAACAACCGCGTCCGCGTTGGGTAGGTCAATATTGCGACCACTCACCACCTCGCCAAAGGTGACGTCATCCAGGGAGAGGCGCCGCGCAAGGCACAGCGCCCAAGCCGCTGTAGGGAGGGTTGCAACTGTGATTTCCCGTGGCCGCGCGGCTATATTCACATCTTTGGAGATGGCAAAATGAGCTGCAGACACAACAGGGATATCGGGCTGAATCCGTGTCATAGACGACCCTTGAAGGAGATCACGCCAGTACGGAATGCTGACTGGCAGATTAGTGCGCGTGACGTGGTTGACATACGACGAGAATGGCAAGCTCTTCGGCACCAGTCGTCCTTCATACAGCGCCGATAGCTGCTGGAGCAAAATTGGAAGGCATATCTCATCGTATTGGGCGTGGGAGATGCGCATGATCAGGCTGCTGGGCCCGTCCACATGTCGAACGAAAAGGAATTTCAAAAATGGTGATCCGAGAGGAATGCGTGTATGAACATCAACATCACAGAGTTTCTGGCTGAAAGCTCCCACATCACTTCCAATCTCATATTCAATTATCTGGCAGGGAAGGTCATCGACAACCACTCCCAATGAGACCCCTTCGTGCTCAACGAACACAGTTCGAAGGATCTCATTACGAGAGACAAGTTCCTGGCAACTTTGGAACAGTTGAGTGTGATCCACCACGGTATCCATGAAGAAAAGTTCGTATCGCATAGAATACCGAGGCAGCTGGACAGTTCCCTGGACCGCAATTTCCTGGAGCGGACGACTTGGATAGGCATCCACGATCTTCCACTCGGGCTGAGCAAGCAATGGGGTCATCTTGTTGATGAACGCATCTACATCGGTCACATCGAGTGAGCTGAATGGTGCATAATCCTGAGCTGTCATGACTGATGGTTGAGCATCTACCGCGTGTTCAGCCATGTCAAACAGAGACCGGTGATCGAATATTGTGGTTACAGTTAGCTGAAGGCCATCCATACGAGCCTCCGAGACCAGCTTCATAGCACGTATGGAGTCACCACCTAAATCGAAGAAGCTGTCATCCAGAAGGATATCCTCACAGGGAATGTCCAAGACCTGACTCCAGACCCGTTGGAGCTTTTGCTGCGTGGCCGTCGTTACGACTCGATAACCATGAAGGTTTTTGTTTCGGGGCTGGAGTTGACCGATCTCCGCATCCTTTGCGCGAATAATAATGACGGAGCCATCACTGGTATATTTTACCAACTGGTTTGTCATATACAACTTGCTTGGATGCTTGAACCACGTTGGATTTGCAACTAGATTGCCGGAAACCAGTTCCCCTTCGATTTCAACGATCAGTTCACCCACTCCACCGGGTGGTACAAGACACTCATGATCATTTGGGTTAACGATCCAAGTAGAGGTGACAGACGGGTAAGGCTCCTCTGCAGGGAGGCTCGCCGGGCCAGTCTTGGCCAGACGGTATTGTTCTGCAATATCCGTCTCAATCGTGGAATCGTAGATGTGCTGAATCCGCTGGGTCGGATCCCCGAGGATCTGCTGCACCAACCGATCAAACAGTTTGAGCGCCTGCTCCATCTGTGGAACATCGATGGTCTTCGAATCGAAACTGGCCATGACAAGGAACCCCTTTGTATCAACGGTAAAGACAAGCATAAGGGCATATGAGTTGAATTTCAACGCTTCACGGGCAGCCTCTGCCTCGCTGGTTGGAACAAATGCGGTAGCTGGCGCTTCTTCCAAAGAGGACACGCCTTCTTCGACTGTTGGATGTATTACAATGCCTGTGCGCAGCTCACACGCCTCTCGAGCATCGGCGTTCAGACGTCGAATATGCTGCAGGCCCATGTGTTCATGAGGAATACGATCTACCGTTTGGTCGTGGATCTGCTGAAGGTAGCTTGATGCTCGAGCCTTGCGATCAATGCAAACCCGAACCGGGACAGTGGTGATCATCGGGCCCTCAATCTCCTCTACTGCTACCACAGGAGCTGTGCGACCAGTCATGGTTTCTCCGAACACGACATCATCGGAGGACATATAATGCGCGGCTAAAAGACTCCAGGCAGCTCGAATGGTAGTTGCAATACTCGTTGTGGAGCTCGACGAAGCCCGGGGTAACTTGACGTAATGTTCTAGGAGGGAATCGGCACGCGCTTGATACCCAGTGTATGGAATGAGAGGGAATTGCAGCGCTGTAGCGCCCTCGAGTTGAGTTTCCCAGTATTTCTCTGTGGAGACTTGATCGGTGTCCCTGAGCCACTTGATGAAGTTCTTGAATGGTGTTGGGGTGCCGATACTCTCGCCGCGATAGGCGCGATTCACTCGGTCAACTATCAAGGGCATTGACCAACCATCATAAAGTGCATGATGAATGCTCAGGACGATAGAGGTCTTGCGGGTTGTCTCATCGTCCACAATAGCGAAACGAGCAAGCTCAGTTCCTAGAGACATCCCCTTGAATGTATCGCTACTCAGATACTCTGTCAAGTTGGAGCTGTGAAGCCATGGAGTGCTGGTTCGTACAACAATTTGCATCAAACCCCGGCGTGGAACTTGGACAATTCTTGTTCGTAGGATCGCAGACTCTGCGGAGACACGCTCAAAAGCAGCTTGTACCCGTTTGGCGGTTTGAACGTCCTGGAGCTCAATGACTCTTTGCGCAACATAGGCATCTGTATATTTCGCGGAGAGGGCCATGAGGGCTTCTTGGAGAGGTGTACAGGGATACACATCAGCCACCTCGTTGGAACTCAAGTTGCACAACGAGGCCACTTCGACCCGCGCAGCATCGGCCTCCCAGCTTGCTGGAAGCAGCGAAAATTCAAGAACGTCCAGTGGAGCTTTCTTCTCAATCTCTTTCACTTTTAGGGCCAGGTGCTCGAGGATTGGTGATTGGAAAATATCAGTGACTTGGACAGCAAGAAACTGCTCTCGTGCAGAAGCAACCAACCTCATAGCTTTCAACGAGTCACCCCCGAGGCTGAAGAAATGGTCATTGACCCCGATATCTGCCTCATCACCAAATAGCTTCAACCATAGGCCGTGAAGCTTACGCTCCATCGCCGTCCGGGGTGCTAATTTGACAACCGTGGACAACTTAAGCTCTGCAATATGCCGTCTTGTCAAGTTATTTCCGAGAGCACGCAGTTGTTTCCGGTCTATCTTGAGTGATACCAGAAGTGGCACATGATTTAGTGGTATATATGCAGTCGGGACCATATACCGGGGCAGGTTTGTCGCGAGAGCATCGTCGATACTAGCGACCAGCTTTTGGAAAGAGCTTGAAAATGAGATAATCTCGCTGGTTATGCCTGTCTTTTCACTATTTTTCTCCGCCACGAACACAATCAGTGTGGCATCGGATTTCTTCCCTCCAGGAAAGATCACTTCCGCTGCGACACTTGCTCCGGCGGGAAAATTATTTCGAACGTGATGCTCGATCTCGCCCAGTTCCACCCGTTGGCCGCGCAGCTTCACCTGTTGATCGGCACGACCGATGAAAACAACACTCCCTGAGGCATCAGGGTCATATCTCACCAGATCACCGGTCTTGTAGAGACGGCCCTTGCGACCTGGCACATCCCCCCCACCCTCGACCAACCATGCTGGGTCCTTGATGAAAACTTCGGCGGTTTTCTCTGGATTATTGAGGTATCCATCACCAACCACGGGGCCTTCGACAAGCAGCTCTCCCACGGCACCGATTGGCATCAATAGGTCATGATTAGATGGATCTACCACCCACGTTGTGCCTCCGACTCCCTTTCCGATGCTAGTATACGATCGATCAGGAGGGATATCGTTGTTGATTGTGCAACCAACAGTGCACTCCGATGGGCCATATGCGATTACGACCTTTGTCTTCTGGCCCCATTCGGCGGCGTCGCTAGCAGATATTGCCTCACCGCCAAGTCCGATGACCTCCAGCGAGGGCAGAATATCAGAAGCCAAGACACGCGCGACCGATGGTGTCATGTGCGCCATGTTCACACTCAGCTCACGAATAGCGTTGCTAAGGTCATTGACTCGCTGGTGTTCTGAGGGCACACAAATGCAGCCGCCGTTGGCAAGAGTGCACAACATGCAGTCAACACTGACGTCGAATGCATACGAGGGGAAATCAAGCACTCGTGAGTGTTCTTTGTATCCCACGGCTGCGGCGCGAGGTACTGCACCACTAGTGTAGTTAGAGTGAGAGATAACCACGCCCTTGGGTTTGCCAGTACTGCCGGAGGTGAACTGGATGTAAAGGGCTGATGATGCTTGGACCACGGGCAGGTCCACAGGCAGTGATTTCAAGATCTCCTGGTCGACCAGCGGGCCAACAATAACTTGCTTTGCGCCTGGGGCGATGCGCGGGCCAAGCTCCGCCTGCAACTCCGAGGTCAATATGAAACCAGCCTCGACTTCGCTGGCGATAGTCCTCAGGCGTCCCTCGGGTTGGCTGGGGTCCATGAGAACCAATGCACCGCCGGCCTTCATCACTGCAAGGACGCCAACAATTGTCCACATGGACTTCTCAAAGCAGAGCGGAACAGACTTCCCAATTTGGAGTCCCAGATCAACAAGATGCCTAGCCAAGTTTGTTGAGCGCTCTTCTAGCTGCTTATATGTCATCTCTCCATCCCAAGACACGACTGCGGGTCGATCGAGTTGTCCTTGAGCTTTTTCGCTGATTATATCTTGGATGCAATGATCGATAGTGGCAGGCATTGGTCCGTTCCATTTCCATAACTGCGACAACTCTCGCCGTCCAATCTGGATGGCCTCAGCAATGGGCTGATCAAGGCCACTGGCGATAGAAATAATGACATCGGCGAAGATATGAGGTAGGACGGCTTCGACGGGCTGTGTGGCTGTCATGGACCGAGGAGTCCCGCGAATGTACAAAACACCATGCGAGAGCTTTGCTTCCAGAGCAAATGTACACTGACCGAGTTAACAACTGATCCAAGATTACAACTCAAGTCTACTTACTTTGGACTCAAGGCAGGCATTTTGACACAAGAGTGTATCCGAGAATTCCCCCTCAAATCTTCCCCGCCTTCGGATTGCTTCCAAAGCAGACCTCAGCGAGCTGTCTTCCCCCTCAATCACATCGGAGATGAGACTGCTCTGGAGGCTATCCTCTTTTATACAGGAAAAGCCTCCGTCCTCACTGCTCACTGTTCCCCGAAATAGAATGAGGATCCAAGCCAGAGCAAGAAGTTCGTCATGTCTTATATCTGGAAGCGTTGGCAGGGTCATACAGTCGGACCAGCCATCATCATGCGGCTTCTTTAGCTCTTCGCCGACCCAAGGGGTTGCACTGGGCTCCATGTATTCACCCATATTATTGGAAAAGAATGATATCAAGAGACTGTCTCTATGGCTTGTCCGGGGACTTACGGCGCAACGATCTGATTAAATTATCTGATGCTGATCTTCAGTGACGGACTTGGCATCTTGCAAGAAAGCCCGTGCCGCCTGCAGCACGGAAGATAGAGCCACAACGGACAGAAACAGTCCGACCAGATGCCGAGATCTCATTGCCAATTTTGCAATGGAGCCTTTGTATACTTCAATCAGTACGTATACCAAAGTGGAGATACATTACACGATGTATGGTTGTAATATTCAATACCATACATACCATACCATACCACATACCCTGACCCTGCCAAGAGCCGCCGAGATCTACGCTTAGCACTGCCACCATGGACCCACCTTGGCATTAGAAACCTACTGCAAACGATGATCAGAGCCCTGACAGGCATATTCGAAACTTTCGATATGTTGTTCCGTGGAATACTGTCACTATTGTGATGATCGTCCTCTCCAAGTTTACTCTTTTCGGAGATTCGCAAGTTTCCGCCTCGATTGATTAGATCGGCTGCGACATCGGATATCTGTCCATTGATTACATTGATGATTTTTTGAACCAACCTTGTAAACTCTCTTCTGAAGCAACATGGGATTGACTTTCCCCCTTTGTTACAAGTCTGCGCCAAGCAGCTATACTGAGATACACGCATGGCCTTTGGTAGCAGCCAAGGTCTCAGCTGCTTGAATAATCCGATGTCCGGCGGACCGCTACATAGTAGACATAGACGAGGATGATCAATTCCCTATATCGTATACTCGAGAAATCCCCGAGCGAGAGTATACCGAGGATACGGTGGTCAATTCCGACATTTTATATCTGATTCCTTATTCCCTCGTGCTCCTCTTCTAGGTTGGTATCATCGTCATCGTCATGCCTTCGAGTCCTTTACCCCTAGTGCGGCTGCCAGAGCCGTACAAGACAACTTATGAGTTGCAGGTCGTATCCAACGAGCAAAATCTCCGCAAGTTTCAGCTGTTCAGATCTCCTCGCGGGGATGAAGGCATACCACCCCCGAAACCATTGGAACATGCGACGTTGAGGTTCACAGACTTGGCTCAGCCCGATCCTTCTTCCACGCCAGACGAGGGAAACAACTCACCCTGGGCACGCGCGCAGAGAAGTCCAGTTACCTTTATTACATGGGCAGGCTGGGAGACGCCGACAGTGGGCCAGATCTGGAATGTGGTCTATGCCATCGAGACCCTGCGCAGCGAATTCGAGATATTCCGCGTGGTGCTGTCTGGTCAGGGGGATGATTTACTTGCACGCGAGCTACAGGGTGTGGGCTTGGCCATTTCGCATCCCGAACCATCTGCTGCGCCAGGAAAGCCCATCCCAATCACTACTGGTTACCTCGGACAGCTGGTCTTTTCCCGCAGCAGCTTCTGGCAGGGAGCCGGCTCGCCGTTTGGTACCCGTCCGGCGTGGGTGTCTGACCCGGGGATTTACAGCTATATGCGCAAGCCGCTGAGCAACTATCCTTCTCGACCACGCCAACACACAGTCACCACTGGCTTCCCCGAGCGTCGAGTACATGCCCTTCACCCGGTACGGCCACCCAAACCAGCCCCTGGCTCTCGCATCTACAGCCGCTACATTCTACACTTGGACGAGTTTTTCTCGCTCTATGCTCTAGACTACACAAACGACGAACACTTGGGGCTGTTCAATAAGTGGCAGAATGACCCTCGAGTGGCTCAGGGGTGGAATGAGACTGGTACTTTGGACCAACATCGTGAATACTTGCGTAAAATCCAGGAGGATCCGCACCAGATCGCTGTGCTGGCCAAGTTCAACGACACTTTCTTTTCCTATCATGAGATATACTGGACCAAGGTATGATTTCTATTTCTTTTCCTAACAACCTGATCATGGCTGATTTGAATTATAGGAGGACCATCTTGGTGCGTACTATGATGCTGGTGACTGGGACAGAGGCCGCCATTCGTTAGTTGGCGATGAGCGTTTCCGAGGCCCGCACCGCACGATTGCGTGGTGGTCCGGCTTGATGCATTACATCTTCCTAGATGATCCGCGTACAGAGTTTGTGACTGGAGAGCCAAAATACTCGAATCTCGCTCCCTTGACCTACGACCACGCTACCGGCATGAACCTGGCCAAGCTGGTTGATCTGCCACATAAACGGTCCGCTCTTATCATTGGTAGTAGGGAGAAATTTTTCCATGTAGCACCTCTACGATTTGACGGGTCTGACACTCTTGATCGCAACCCGTTCCGCTCCTTGAAATTGTGATAGTTGCAAAATGTGAAATATGATGTGATTGTATATGCATGTATCATGCACTGAGACAGTGTTCAGCCGTGTATATCCGTACTTTCAGCCTACACCCTGCAATGCAGCCAAGTAAAGTCTATTCACAGCAAGGAGAAAGCGTAATCTAATCAGATTCGGGAAGTGCCCGGGACCGCTAGGCCCCGATATTTTGAGTTTGATAGTTGTATTGAACCCAACTTGCCCTAATAAGTAAAGATCCGCAATAGCCAAGCAGTTTCCAGGGGTTGAAGGGGTGGAAGAGCCGGAATAGAAAACACAGTAAAGATCATCGTCGGAATTGCTAGAACTTCTCAAGTAACGTCCTTGCTCAGAGGGTATACGGCATTCTCGGTCCACCCCCAAGAGTCTCCAAGACCAAAACAAAAAAAACAACAAATACATACTCTTGGCACTGAGCGGTTTTTTTCACTAGTTGATCTGATAAAGGGTTCAATTTTACGTATTGTCCGACGTCGGCTTTTCACTCTAAATTCTTGGTAATCGAGACATTCAACAAGTGGGTCTTATAGATTTCTGCCAGTACATTTACCTTTAGGATAAAATAACGAATGATCTTCTTCAATGTTCTCATTTATTTACGCTTATAGAGAGAGCTTTTATTATGGCTGCTGAAGATGCACCAGCGCAAAAGCGCAGCGTATGTTACCCCTAGATCTTTAGGGTTCTCTAGCTGATTCGTGACAGTGGAGGGAAAAAGCCGTCTTCTTTCGCCTGTTTGTCTATGGCGAGCCTAGCAGATCAGACATCGCACTCCTTGTACTCGGCCTTGTCTCCGCAGTTGCCTCCGGGATTCCTTTTCCGATCATGTCTATTGTGTTTGGTCAATTGGTGGATGAGATGAACTCAACGACCTGCAACGCCAACGACACCAACGGCGACTCGTACCAAGACAGTATTAACGAGAAAGTTTTGATGATTGTCTATATCGGCATTGCCTACCTCTTTTTGATCTATATTTATGTGTTTAGCTGGAATCTGACTGGCGAGAGACTGGCTCAGCGTCTGCGCGAGAAATATTTCAAGGCCCTTCTCCGCCAGGATGTGGCCTTCTTCGACAACCTCCCGGCTGGCGAGGCGTCCTCGAGAATTACAGGTGACATTACGACCGTGCAGCAAGGAACTTCTGAGAAGGTCGGCATCGTGATCAACAGTCTTGCCTTCTTCGTCACCGCGTACATCGTGGCTTTCATCAAAGATCCCAAGTTGGCTGGAATGTTGGTCTCCTTGACTCCCGCCTACTTGATCATGTCTCTTTTAGGAGGTTATTTCGTGCAAAGGTATTTTGGTCGCGCACTAGATGGCATGACCACAGCATCTTCGGTGGCACTGGAGGCTTTTTCTAATACAATGGTGGTTCATGCTTTCTCGGCCAACGCGCGGCTCGAGGAGAAGTTCATCGAGTTTTTGAACCCGTCCAGGATTGCCGGAATTCGCAAGTCAATTGCCACAGCTACTCAGGCAGGTTTGCTTTACTTTATCGCTTTTTCGGCCAATGCATTGGCGTTCTGGCAGGGGTCTACGCAAATTGCGGATTCGGTAGAGTCCGATGCTGGCGGCATGACAGTCGGGGCAACATATACTGTGATTTTTATTTTAGTGGATGGTAAGCATCTATATTCATTGCGTTGATTGACCTCTCGCTGACTTCCTCTATCTCTCAGCGTCCTTGATCCTCAGCACAGTGGCACCTTTCATCCAAAGCTTCGACGCCGCTTCGGTTGCCTTCACAAAATTGAAGGCTGATATAGAGCACAAATCCACAATTGATGGCACTGCGAAGGATGTTGGACAAGTCTTGTCTGAGGTCAAGGGCCATGTGGAGTTGCGCGACGTCTCATTCCGCTTCCCTTCTCGACCAGACAAGCCAGTGCTCCAAAATCTGTCGCTTTCATGTCCTGCTGGTCAACAAACTGCCATTGTCGGCTTGTCTGGGAGTGGCAAATCCACTGTCGCTGGATTAGCAGCAAGATTCTACGACGCGACAGAAGGAACTGTTATGCTGGACGGACATGATGTCAAAGACCTGAACGTGCGTGCATTGAGGAGTCACATCAGTCTTGTCCAACAAGAGCCATGTCTTCTCGATCGATCAATATTCGAGAACATTGCCATGGGCCTGATCAATTCCCCTACACACACTCATCTCCAGCCAATTCTGACTGGCACTGCGCTAGTTGACATTGCTGCAGCTGCGAGAGACGGCCAGGCCCTTGTGCCCGCCTCTCTAGAGCACGGTGACCAGGCGCGAGAGGTGGTAGACTTGGTTGAAGGTGCCGCAAAACTGGCTGATGCCAACGGGTTTATTGAGAAGCTCCAAGAAGGCTATGGTACTTCAGTTGGTTCTAGCGGAAACCTAATCAGCGGCGGACAGAAGCAGCGTATATCGTTGGCTCGGGCATTGGTGAAAGACCCCCGGATTCTCATTCTCGACGAGGCCACGGCGTCTTTGGACTCAGCGACAGAAATGCGGATCCAAAGAGCCTTGGAGACTGTGGCCGTGGGGCGAACTGTTATCACCATTGCCCATCGTCTGTCTACCATCCGCAATGCGGATAACATCATCGTCATGAGACAAGGAAAACTTGTTGAACAAGGCCGTCATGTGGAGTTACTGGCAGCCAACGGTGCCTACGCAGAGCTCGTTCGCCTTCAGAACCTCAATGTCGAGAGTACTCAAGAGGGAACATCCACCCGATCGGTGTCGCCTGTGAATCAAATAATAGAGAAGGTTGAACCCTGCCTTTCCGTGGCCGATGACCTCCGCGATAAAGATGAGACTGCCGATTCCTCTGCTGCGCAAGATTCCAAGTCCAAAGAAACCGGCGGTGTTGTCGATACACACAGGTCATTTTCTTCGACAGCCAGTTCCCTAGGCTCTATGTTCCGACCGTATGCATTTGTTCTGATCCTCGCCGTGACGGGTGCCGTTGTCATTGGAGGCACATACTGTGCTTCGGCGGTGATATTTGGTAACGTCGTGGCTAAGCTGAGTGGCTGTGAGGAACCTCAGACTATCCGCGATGCTGGAGAGTTCTACGGACTCATGTTCTTTGTCCTCGCTATCATTGAATTCTTCGCAAATCTAATCAGCTGGTCCCTCTTTGGTTGGATGGCAGAGAATGTGATCTACAAAGTGCGAGTTCTTTCATTGCGATCCATCCTCGAGCAGGATCTCCAATGGCACGAATCCAATGACCGCAACCCATCGTTACTACTTTCTTTGATTACCAAGGATAGCAATGCTCTTGCAGGCCTGACGGGGTCCGTTGTGTGCACAATGTTGTCTATTATCATCAACCTATTCGCTGCCATCATCATGTCGCACATTATTGCGTGGCGCATCGCCATTGTCTGCCTTGCCGTGGTACCTTTGCTTCTGGGTGCGGGATGGATGCGAGTTACCTCATTGGCACAATTTGAAGAGCGCCACCTGGAGGCTTTCGCTCGCTCGGTGGGAATTACAGTGGAGGCTGTCAACTCAATTAAGACCGTCATGTCTCTCTCTGTGGAAGATGAGATTATGGGAACATACCGTCGTTCATTAGCGGCACCCATGAAGGAGATAACTCGCCAAAGTGCCTGGGCCAATATCTGGCTTGCCATCGGGTACGGTCTCAGCAACTTCTTATATGGCCTGGCATATTGGTGGGGAGCGAAAAACATTATTGCGGGTCACTATTCTCAGACACAGTTTTTCATCGTCCAGCTAGCGCTGCTCGTCAGCTCACAGCTGTGGGGACAAATGTTTGCCCTAGCTCCTGATGTCTCGCGTGCCTTCCAGGCCACCCGCCGGTTGTTAAATTTGCTAGACCTAGGATCCACGAAGAAACTGTCAGCCCCAATCCACACTCTGTCTAGCAAGCTTTCACAGTCTACGAACGATGTCGAATCCATGGCTACCACTCGCGAGAAAGTCGACGACACTCGCAATGGCATCAGCGTCTCCCTCAAGCAAGTCCATTTTGCGTATCCTGCTCGGCCAGACACTCGTGTACTTCATGGTTTGGACTTAGATATTAAGCCTGGTCAGTTTGCCGCTTTGGTCGGACCTAGTGGTGCTGGAAAATCTACCATCATTTCTCTTGTCGAGCGCCTCTACTCTCCCGAATCCGGCACCATCCATGTTGACGGCCAAGACGTTGCATACGGTAGCATTTCCTTCCGCGACTCCATTGCATATGTACCACAGCAGAGTGTTTTGTTTGAGGGAACTATTCGCTTCAATCTTGCGCTTGGTGCACGGCCTGGTCACGAAGTTACGCAAGAGGAGTTGGAAGAAGCATGTCAACTGGCCAATATCCACGACGTAATTGCGCAGCTCCCCGACGGATACGATACACACTGTGGGCCAAATGGTGATCGTCTGTCCGGAGGCCAGAAGCAGCGACTGGCTATTGCACGGGCGCTCATCCGAAAGCCAAAGCTGTTGCTCCTAGACGAGTCAACCAGTGCTTTGGATGCAGAATCTGAACGATTGCTTCAGGATGGATTGGAGAAGGCAACTAAAAGCATGACGGTAATAGCGATTGCGCATCGTTTGTACACGATTCGTAAGGCGGATGTTATTTTCTTGATTGAGGATGGACGTTGTGTTGAGCAAGGCACCCACGCCCAGCTGGTCGAGCGGAGTGAGACTTATAGGGTCAATGCCCTGAACCAGACAGTAGATGGATGAGTGTTTTTGAATAGAAAAAGGTGGATAGTTGTCTTTTTTTGGTGGTTTTGGTGTTGGTGATATAGACTTATATTGTTTAATCTCATTCTTTTATGATAGAAAGTTGCCTACATATATTTCGTTTTATGACTTCTCTATAAACATGAATATTTACTCAGTGGTTTCTCCCAAACGCATCCATTTCCAACAAACTGCTTTTATTAGCTCGATCAATCTGGCTGGAGACTCGTCAACTTACTTTCGTATCCTAGATCATCATTGAAAAACATATTACGGATCTCGTCACCCGAGGACAACCCCATGGCTGGGAAGTACCCAACAGCTGTTTTCCCAAGAGCCAAAGCCATCATCGGAGCCACTTCAACTAGCTCCACGAACTTGGGCTTTATATTGTACCGCTTGGCTAACATCTGCTGGTGAATATTGACAGCTGCAAAGTGCGCCTGATGCATCGCCTGTCCGCCACGCTTGATACCAGACCATGAGGCAATATCACCGGCAGCGTAATGATATTCTTTGTTGGGCACATCTGTGGCAAACTGAAGACCGGGCGTGATATGGATATATCCCTCGGAATCGCAGGCCTCCTCGGGCAGATATGAGGATGTTGGTGCAAACCGCGACACGGCATTGATTACATGGTCGGCAACAAGCTCTCGGCCATCCGAAAGCTTGAGCGTGTACTTTGCGGGAGAGGAGTCGCTACCGAGAACTGTATTCTGGACGCGTGCCCCCAAAACCACTTCGACCTTGGACTCTTTCAATATCTCAAGAGTCTTTGCTTTGAACTCATCGGGGAGGTCCTCGGAGGAGAGCAGCTGCTGCCGAGAGTGAACGAGAGTCACCTTTGCCTGAGGTCGGAGCATCTTAATCTCGGCGGCTATTTCGATACCGACGGCACCTGCAGCGAACCAATCAATTGGCATAACTCAAATGGAAGAATATGGTGTCACCTACCGCCTCCAACAATAACCACGCCTTCCACAGCTTTCTCAATAGTCTGCACAGAGTCTGCAGTTTCGGCAAGATATGCTTCCCGAGTCAAAGACTTGGGCGAACTAGGCCATTCTCTTCGCAGCCCCGAGCACGCAATCATATAGTCGTATTTTTCTTCGACAATCCTGTGCCCATCATTCGCAGTATTTTGATGGATCCGCGCGGTGCGGGACTTGCAGTCTATCAAGTCTACTCGTCCTTGTATACGATTGATATCCGGAGACTGGAGAGCGGGAATATCCTCGAACTTTTTCCAAAATGTGCTAGCATCAGCATTGGAGGCTATGGCTAAAGGCAGTCCGATCAGGTGGTCTAAGATAATGTAGTGTCAGTGGCATTCCTTCAAGATCTATATGAAGATATCACATACAATAACCGTCACGCTCATCCACGATGGTTACTTGCACGGAAATCGTGTTCCCTGGGCCCTGCTCATTCTCATTCAGATTGAATCGACATTTCCGACCATGACACAGATCAACAAGGTTCAGAGTTGCAGCCAGCCCAGAATAAGACCCTCCAACAATGAGAACCTTGAAAGGGGGCTGTTCTTCGAGACTAGGCATGGCGACGATCGGTATAGTGGGTTTTTTGGTAGTAACAAAGGAGTTGTTGGGATGGGAAAGGAAAAGAACCAAGTCAGGAGCCGGCAACTTGTCAACCCGAGCAACTGATCGGACATAACCAGGTCAAACATCTCAATACCCGGCCCCGGAGCAATTACGGCCCCAATTACGTGTGTATGTAATTTTAACTCTCAATGCAACCTTGTCTTATCAGATCCGACTTCGGGAGACTTGGCGCCAAGGAGTTTATTGAATACAGATGCACTTAATACCATACACTACACGCTACGTACTTTCTTCAACTCTTTCTGAACTATTCCTCAATAGTGAATACACTTTGTCTTTTGTATTCAATATGGGCTTTGTTGTTGTCCCCGCCACTCTCCCCGATATCCGGGCCATCTACGATGTCTGGTTTGCGGCCTTCAAAGGTCAATTGATCCTCGACCTCATCTATCCGGGAACAGATCTCAACAATGAGGCTTTCCGCAAAGTACACACCGAAGGGACTCTTGAATACTGGAAAGGATTGAGCATGGAGCACACCTTCCAATGTATTGATACCAAAACTGGCAAAATTGCTGGCATGGCAACATGGCAAGTCTACTGGCGAGAAAGGACCAACGAGGAGCGCCAGAAGCCGTGGATTGGATGGCTAGAGGGTGACCAGCGTGAGCGTGCCGAAGGCTTTTTGGGACAGCTTTGGGAAAAGAGGGAGAAGTGGATTGGGCCTAAGAGGCATGTGTGTGAGTGACTACCTGATCTTATATTGATAATGACCGTGTGTTGACCTGATGATAGACTGCCACACAGTTGCAGTGCATCCAGAATACCAGGGTAAAGGCATCGGAACACAGCTTATGCAATGGGGAATGAACGTGGCAGAGCAGCTGAATTTGCCGATTTACCTTGAGTCAACCGTGGAGGGGGTCCCATTGTATCAAAAACTTGGCTTCCAGACTCTCTCGGAGGGCATCCTGTTCAAGCCTGAAATTACCAGGGTCGATAAAGATGTTCGAGCACCTCTCATGGTGAGAATGCCCACAGCTGCGGGAAACACGACATTTGAGGAATGGGCGGAGGACAAGAACTCATCTGTGTAAACGGTATCTACATATGTATTTATTTTTGTTTAGGCTATAAATACAAGACACGTACAGTCATATGCTCGTATGGCCTCCCACAGACTTATTCCTTCTGGCCCCGGGAAGGTTGAACTGCATTTACAACATACCTCCTAGCCTTCGACGTGTAAAATGTGCACCAAAACCTAAAGTTGCCACATGAGCGAGATCCAAACAATTCCGGTAAGCCAGCCAATTCAGGTTAGCCATCAGACGATGAAACTGGCCATTCCTTTTCAATGATCTTGGCAAGGAGTTTAAAAGTTACCAAGAGGCCCAAGCGGACAGAGAGTTAGAGCCAAGACTTGGCGTATTAGTGAACGAAGCTACCAGGTGAGGGTTTTACTAGATGTGTGAAAACTTTTTCTTAATCTTATTGTTGACTGACCCAAGAATGACAACAGGGGCACACAAAAGGAGAAGGCAGAAAGGGCACGAGACGGTACTCCACAGTGCTTCCGCCACTCCCGGTGATTCCATCGGTAGAAAGTTATCCCATCCATCGAATGGACGGCAGTGTTAGTGTGTATCCATGTGGGTTGGGGTAATACTGTGGAGGTGTTGAGAGAGTTCGAAGGCCATGTTATGAGGTCGTACTCCGTCCATACTCCGTACTATAACTCCACTCCGAGCTTGTGGACGTGGCGGATGTGGTGGAATAAGAACTTTGGAACCATCTCGGCAAGTGCCGATCAGGACCTGGCGTTTCCAACCTTAGAAGGTTCCAACCGACTTTTACTAGGCAATACCACAAAATACGTGTATTACCAACCAGACCCTTGTACCGTACGGAAATATAAAGTGGGGCCACTAATCTTATCTGATCAAGGCTGGAATTATCAGATGGCCCACATCGTGAACCGGGTCTGTATACATACCCATAAACTTAGATACAACCTGAATTTTTTTGTGCTCTGGACGATCCCAATACCATGTCATCAGACGTTAAATCCCTCATATCAGGGAATGAATTGGCTGGCCGACATCGGCTGGTCGCGGGGATTTCCGGACAAATCTTGTCATATATTTGAGTTTGAGACATCCAGTAAAACAAAAGAATCAGTAGTCCACTCTTGCAGGGAAGTGAATCCTGTTATGCGTTTTTATTCCGCCTTTGCCGCCCTTTGTGGGTTCCAGGCTACAGTTGTTGTGGCGGAGAACACCACTTGGCCCTGGCAAACATTCAAGTCCAGCCCTCACGAGCCCCCCAGTCTCGAAATCTCGAAATCAGGCCCTACCAGCCCGGGATACCTCTTTTTCGATCAATCATGGGACGCACATCAGTACAGTGTGTTCATCATGTCAGATAGCAACGAGCTTGTCTGGCAGAGCCCGCACGGTGATCTGAAGGGTTTCCGGGTACAGAAGCTGGATGGGAAGCCTGTTCTGACCTACTTCAACGGCCTTGGGGTCCCAGAGCCCTTTGGCTGGGGATATGGTATTGTCCAAATCTTGGATGAGTCCTATCAAAGTATCTACAATGTCTCTGTGACAAACGACAACTACAAGGCCTTGGGCAGCATTGACAGTTCCTCTTTTGTGTCCTGGATTGACATGCACGAGAACACAATAACGGCTGATGGGACAATGCTAGTCACCGGCTACAATGTCACCCAGACTGATCTCAGTTCTGTTGGAGGCCCGAAGAATGGCTGGATCGCTGACTCGCTCTTCTATGAGATCGATGTCAAGACCAACGAGATAATTTTTCGCTGGAGTGCCTTGGATCATATTGATCAAATTCCTTTGGAAAATGTACAGCCATTCTACCCTATCCAGGACTGGGGACACAACAGCAGCTCTCCCTACGGCTACTTCCACATCAACTCAGTGGACAAGTTTCAAGATGGAACGTACATCATTTCTTCTCGTTACTACTGTTCGCTGTTCAAGATCGCGAAGGATGGATCAATTGACTGGACGCTTCAGGTAAATTTAAGCTTCTTCCAGTGTGTTGCCAGTGCGTCCCATATACTAATATCCAACAGGGTCAAACTGGCGGCGACTTTGCACTCAACGGAATCAAGTTTAGCTACCAACACGACGCCCGAATCCACGACGAGACCGAGGATGCATTCACCCTTAGCATTTTTAACAATGCCAACTCTGACGTCCACAACGGCACTGATCACACTGAAGGAATATTGATGAATGTCGATCTAGCCACTCGCGAGGTCTCCCTTGTCCAAACTCTTCACGATCAACGCGATGAAATATTTTCAGCTTCTCAAGGAAACACACAATTGCTGCCTGGAACGCACGTCCTGATGGGCTACGGATCAAATCCTAAGATCAAGGAGTACAATTTCAACGGGTCTTGTGTCATGACTGCCCAGTTTGGATTTGACAACGTCATCTCAAGCTACAGATCATATCGCTCTCCTTGGGTTGGCGTCCCCAAAACTCTCCCCGATGTATTCTCTTGCATTGAGCAAGGCCGAAACAAGACCAATGTTTATATGAGTTGGAATGGAGCCACTGAGCATAACCAGTGGAAGATTTTTGGGGCCGCTACTCGTTCAGACCTGATTCCAGTAGCATCAATACGGAAGACAGGATTTGAGACCATGGCGAGCGTCAAAGGAAGGCTTGGGTATGTTCAAGTAGAAGCTCACGGCCTGGGGATCCAGAAAGGTGTTTCCAAAATTATACCTGTAACCAGCGGGTGTTAGGTATCATATATGATTGCAATACTTGTAACTGTAATGAAGATAGACAATGAGAGAATTTGGACTGTATTAATCTTGGTAGAGCAACTTTTTTTCATTTTCTCTGAGACAGTAAAGACCTCTACATAGTTAAATAGTCAAGGCTTACTTCTGTTAGAATTTACTCACTGAATACCTTACTCAAGCATACAGAAGTCCGCTTATCGTTAAACCATTATTTTGGGTGAGCCAAAGTCCAAAAGAGATGATATAGTCTTCGATTCTATCCATGTATGTGGTAGGTATTCATTGTATAACAGACAACTAATTAGAGCAACATCATTACTGACTCCTACTTTCTTTAATCGGATCCCTACAGACTTATCTGCCAGCTTCGCACTTTTCTATCAACGCCATGTCAACTTAAATCACGCGTCCCTTGACCTGCTTAAGGTCCTTTATCTTGATATCCCTCCACATCGCAGCACATCCCCAAGCAACTACCAGCATACAGACACTGGTGATTAACATATACTGCTGCGCATCTCCATAGGCACGAGCAATACCATTCCGAGCCGGGCTTCCCCATTCATACGACAGCTGGGCCGTAATATCTGAATAAACCTTCGCCACATCCACCTCCGCCGGCACATACTTGGCCAGCGCCTTCGGGAACTGGCTGGTCCAGATAGCAGCAGACACAGTTGATCCAATTGCACTGCCAATACTACCGAATAGATTCAGCATAGCAAGTATAACAGCGATGTGCTGATGATCCGAAGGCGCCATCATAGCAAGTTCGCCGCAGATAACAGTGGTTCCACCGGCAAAGGCGACGAAGATTTGAGTCATGCAAATATACCCAATTCCCACATCAGGTTGACGGAATTTTATCATCAGCCCAACTCCCAGGATCATAAGCGGATAAGAGAAGTAAACGGCCAGCCATTTAAAGCGACCAGTCCAGCGAATCAGGAAGCCAACGAGGAGACAAAAGAGGCAGGATCCGACTCTGTAGATGGCTGAGACATAGCTGGCTTCTGTGACATCTAGACCCCAAACGACTTGGAGCATTGATGAGAAGTAACTACCCCAGACCATCGAGTTGAAAAACTCAAAGACGAACATGAGTCCACCGAAGAAGACAGTTCGGTCCATCAATAGATTGAATGGGATAAAGGTCACTGGGGCCCAGAATCGCTCGTAGATAGCGAACGCGATGAGCAAAAGCCCTCCAAAAACGATCATGCAGATAATCATCGCTGAGCGCCATTGATCCTTTTGATATGACCAGAGACTGAACGGGAGAAGGAACAAGGCCATTCCGCCCGCCAGAAGAATGATTCCGATCAAGTCGACCTCTATGCAGTATTGCTTCACTGCAGACAAGGTGAGCGGACCACGGCTGGGTGCGAGCAACCCCATCTTCTTGGCCTTTGTCTGATTCCAGAAGAACAGGATACACAGAGGAGCCACCACGATCGGAACGCAGATGGTGAATATTCCAAATCCCCATCGCCAGCCGGGGCCTTCGAGGACACTCTGGGAGATTGGTCCTCCGATCCATGTTGTGATGATGTATGGCGATGTTGCAAACGACAACATGAGGGCTCGATTTTTCAACGCGGAGGTGTCTGAAATGAAAACTGTCAAACAGTAGCTGACTCCTTGGGATCTAGATGCATATAAAATTAGCCAAGCTGTTGGAAAGATATTGCAGAAGCTCAATATGGATATCATACCCCACGGAAGAGAAAACCTGCGCAGCCGCGTATGTCTGGACGTTGTCGCAAGCAGCCATCATGATGAATCCCACAACCCAGATGACGAGCATCAAAGTCATACCCTGAGGCCGACCCCACGAGTCCAATATCTTTGCCAAAGGAATTTTACTCAATCCTCCAATGATATTAGCCATGATACTAGTGGCAGCTGTCAGAGAATGGAGCATGAAGGCACTGGTCACGTATGGGTTTAGAGAACGGATGACGACCTCCTGAATGGAGGTAACAAAATAGATAAACCAAATGCTTCGCACGAGAAGAGTCAGTGGTTTAAATGAATATAAACGTTGTATTATGAATAGATTCTCACATCACATATGCCAGGATCAAGTGCGACTTAGTCCACACAGCCGCTGCGGCCTGAACTCCCTTCACACCAGCCTGAGCCTCTTGATCGAGAGACTCCTGATCCGAGTTGCCATGACCATCAGTCGTATCTTTCGGTGTTTGAGATGTTTCTAGCTCTTTCTCAGAAGGATGGGGTATGTCAGAGCCCATATCGCGAGCGATATCCTTTTCGGTCGATGCCATGGCGAGAGACTTTGGTCGGAATACTACGAATTTTGCCAAAAAAGCGCCGATCAGTGGGATATATATGTCTTGGTCTAGCAGGTGTGCATTAGCCGATATCGGTAACATGGAAGGTTCTGCGCAGCCAATGAGTATGCTGACTTGGTCAAGTCAGTGTCCTGTAAGTAATAATTTCTGTTTCTGCCAGGAAGATTAGTTGGGGCCGGCCCCCTTGGCGTACCTTAAGATCCATAGTCATTCCTAGGGCCTTCTCGGTCCAATGAATTCTGTGCTCAGGCTCGAATGTTCTGATGCCACCCCGGAACGTTTCGATCAGGCCATTCCAATATTGTTTACCTTACCTCTTTCCCATTCTAGACAAAAATCTGAGGCCAACGATGCTATAGGCGCTTTTCTTCGTTGTGTTTATGTACATGGATGTATGGTCCTAGTGGTATCTTGATGGACTCGTTTTACGGTATTATAAAACAGGGCTTCAAAATTACAGGTATTTGAGCATTACGGCGCTTTCCGCTGTATTACCTCCCCATTCAAAGATTCCGCTTATTGCGCTTCAGGGTACAAAGTATCAAAGCTCAAGGTATTTTTTCTGTCGGATGATAGTTTCCTATTTGAGCTGGCGTCGCTTTTACACCCCAAAGCTGCCTGGCTCAGCAACCTTCAACATTTCAATACATAGGAAGAAAGGACACTTAAGAAACGGCATTTGACAGCATTAGTGTACGAGATGAGCCATTTTATGCCCCAGTTGAAGCTCGTTCTGGCGATAATTTTACTAATAGCCCAAACTGCTATCCGAGAGTAGTGTACCCTGAGCTGACAGTTATTTCGTTTCGCCACTTGTTGATTCAATAAGTGTGTCTCGCTCTCGTTCTCACTAAAACTATAGGGTAATATGTTCCTTTTCCACAGTAAAACCGGAGTTCACATCTTATGTATCATGAACTCGACACCAATTCAGGCTTCCCACATACTCCCAACACTAGATGCCTTTAGGTTTCCAGCGCATTCTGTTTTGTTAACACGCAGTCAGGAGTAATGTCTAACAAGTCCTTTATCTACTATCTGCAGAAATAAAATTCGGCTCAGACCCATTTGCTTAGTGAGTCTTAAATTCCTAAAACTAAACTCCGAGAATTTTCCTAAGAGCTATCATCCATGCAGCGTTTATTCTCTGCTCGCAATCAAAGCTTTGGAACATTATGTAGCATCGGAAATGGATGCCAAATCTAGATCTTCTAATCGATACCGCGCTTGCATCAGATGAAACGTGATATAACCAGAAAGAGAAGCCTCAAGGGCTTTGGATAGCTTGGTGTCAGCCTTGGCAAGCGTGTGCAAAGTCCGGATCATATCGCTTGACTCATCACAGAGCTTTCGCAGACACTCCATCTCAGTGACCCCTTGACACCTGGCCGAGTTCGCAATGAAATTAAAGCTTTCCATCTCAACCATTTCTTTGTAGTACGACAGGATGTCATTTACCCAAGCCAAAACCGATGTCAAATATGGCATCATCGGTAGACAGTTTCGTCGGCACTCGGCTTCGGAGAATTGAGCGAGTGGGAAGAACAGAAAGGAGAAGGCTTCGGATATGCCTACTTTCTGGCGAAAGTATTCAGGGAATCGCTGCGCTTCTGTGGGGAAATGAAGTTTCTCACCCTCGGCTTCTGCATAACATGCGCTGATAAACTGCATTGTGTCCTTGATGATCATGTCGCTGGCAAATTGACCGAAGATGGAATGGAAAGAACTGAGGAACTCTCCCCAACACTGAAGGACCGGGTTTCCTTGGGGCTGTCGGGTCAGGAGGCAAATATTGAATCGCTTCAGATCATTCCGGAACTCGAGGTCATGGGCCCAATCATCAGCAATGAAAGAATAAGCGCTGAATATCGCCACTGTGCATTGTACATCGAAGGGGGTTGTGTGGTAAGCCGTTATTGCAATATCGATGCTGGGCCTGAGCTGTTTCTCGACCTTTGCAATAAAATCATCTGAGAATCCTTTATTCTTGAAATGCAGTTTCACTTCGTGTTCGACTGCAAGATATAGTTTCCGAAGAGGAAACTCCCCATTGTATAGCTGAGGAGGAAACTCATAATCGATATCCAAAAGAAATGCCTTTATGATTCCAGAAAGCTCTGTCTTAAGCTCAGGGCTAACCGCGATGGCCATTTTGGGACATTGAAGAAGTAGGGGCAAGAAAAGTGTGGACAGGAAAGAAAAAAAAAGCCAGGATGGATATATATATATATACAAGGAAGGTCATAAAATTGTATAACATATAGCACGATCTTCAATATGTTAGAAGGTCCCTAAAGTATTTGACATCTGTGGGTCATACCCCAGGGTCGAATCGCCTCGGGTATCATGTCAGGTCGAGACTACCAGTGAGTTGAAGGAACGCTGTCGCTGGATATATCAGGAAGTGATCGGTATATTTGCCACTAATCCAGGGTCACACGAAGTTGACAGATGACGAGATTGCCTAGAATTCGGATGTCTCCCTGACCCGGAAGATACGAGGTGCATGAGCTTCTCTTCTATACTAATATCAGATGCTGGTTATCTAGTTCTTGGACCAACTGACTTGCTCGTACTGGGGCACCAAAGCGTCGTTACTACTCACGTACTCGGCGCCCCAGCTACGGCAGGATATAGATGCCATTGCGCCAATCGGGCCCCGGTTTTGACTAGCAGAAAATTGGCAAGCTAGGTACAACCGGGGCTGCTCCCTCCCCGGTTGCCCAGGCTCTCTAGAACTAGGGCTACCGAAGCATTTATTTATAACACAATAGATGTTGGTTTATGACGATTTGTCTAGTATCACTGTCAAGGCTACACCGAAAATGAAAAAAAGCATATAGGTCTAGGTACGGAGTATACAGGGGAGAATGACCTCGGGAAGGTTGGCGGGCTTCTAAGCCTGCCGCACCCAACTTAATTTTCAACCAATCAGAGTTCAGAAATTCAACCAATCAGAAGTCCAGAAATTCAAATTTGAGATTTCAAAAAGCGGCTCTGCCACATTTTGAGTTTATCAGACTCATAACTCAAAATTCGATCTCTGAGAATGCACTCAGAGAGAATGCACGACCACGATATTGAAGAGAGTCCAGAGAAACACAGCAATGTCGAGTCACGCCAATTGCTGCCGCAGCCGGAGTTGCAGCGGAGGCTCAAAAGCAGACATCTACAGATGATCGCAATGGGTAAGAGCTCTCCAAATTATGAATTTTCGTTCCGATTCTTATTCTCATCGTTTTAAAGGAGGTGCCATTGGAACTGGTCTATTCATCGGTAGTGGAAGTGCCATTGCTACCGCAGGTCCTGTCGGCGCCCTAATTGCATTCACCTTCATTGGATCAATCGTGTATTCAGTCATGATAGCCTTGGGCGAGGTAGCCACCTACCTACCGATCCCAGGAGCGTTTGCTACATATGCGACGCGCCTGGTCGATCCCAGTTTAGGCTTTGCAATGGGCTGGATCTACTGGTTTTCATGGGCGTCGACATTTGCACTTGAATTGACTGCCACCGGTCTAATCATTCAATATTGGGATGACACAATCCCAATGGCAATCTTCATTGCTGTGTTTTGGGTTGTTATCATCATTTTAAACATGTTTCCCGTGAGCTGCTACGGTGAAATCGAGTTTTGGCTTTCGAGTATCAAAATCATCACCGTCGTCGGGTTTATGATATTCGCTATCTGCATCAATGCTGGTGTTGGCAGAGAAGGTTATCTGGGATTCAGATATTGGGTTCATCCAGGCCCATTCCGCGCTTATCTGATTGAGGATCCTGCAAAAGATGCTCTGGCTAAATTCGTCGGATTTTGGGCTATTTTGATCAAAGCCGGTTTCTCATATCAAGGTACTGAGCTTGTCGGCATTGCCGCGGGTGAAACGGAAAACCCTCGCAAGAATATTCCCTCTGCCATTCGGAAGACATTCTTCCGGATCGTGTTTTTCTTTGTGTTTACGATTTTCTTCGTCGGTATCGTCGTGCCAGCCAATGATGAACGCCTTACCTCCGATGCCACAAATGCAGATGCATCCCCCTTTGTCATTGCTGCGAAACGTGCTGGTGTCAACGTCCTACCGAGTATTATCAACGCAGTTTTACTCACTGTCGTCCTGTCCGCTGCCAATTCAAACGTTTACAGCGGCAGTCGAATCCTAGTCGGTTTGGCTCACGAGGGGTTCGCTCCTCGATTTTTCTTGAAAACAACCAAACACGGCGTGCCCTATGCCAGTGTTGGGTTTACCGCTCTTTTTGGCCTGTTGGGCTTCCTCAATGTGTCCAATGATGGAGCCACTGTTTTCAACTGGTTGATTCAGATAGCTGGATTGGCCGGTTTCATTACCTGGGCGTCTCTGAATATTTGCCATCTGGCATTTATGAGAGCTTTGGCTGCGCAAGGCATTCCACGCGACAGTCTTCCATACAAGGCTACCTGGCAGCCATTTTTTTCGTGGTATGGCCTGTTCTTCAACATGCTCATCATCATCACTCAGGGCTTCACTGCTTTCATTCCGAGCTTCAATGTTACGGACTTCTTTATCAACTACCTGAGTCTGATATTGTTTGCCGTGCTATACATTGGACACAAGGTTGCATACCGCCCGAAGTTTGTGAACCCTGCCGAGGCTGATATTGACACTGGGCGATGTGAGGAGTGAATGTTGAAATGTACATGTATATTAGAGGAACATATAATTCCACTCAAAACTAAATAAGAATAGAATATAATAGTATAGTATATAGTATATAATATAGTAGACAATATAGTAGTTATATCAAGACCAAGTAAATAATATTAATCTGTCATGGATAACCTAGTGGAAGGCTCACCGCCATGCCAATTACCCTGCTTCGGTCGCAAGTCCAGCAGGAAAGGTGCCTGGTACGAATCCTGGGGTTGGCATTTTCACTCGTGCGAGTAATCCACGACGCTGGAAGCCATTAAGCAATGGAAATGACCCTTGAGGGAAGCAATTCTGCAGAGACATTTCCACCCCGGGATGGCGTCGCCAGATTACACCATCCTGTTACAGGGAACTTGGCAACTTGGTGTGACAACTACTTTTTTATTTTTTTACCAAATTACTTTTTATCCCTTGATGTCCTTGCCATGCCTCTTTTATGCTCTCCATTTTTGTATAGGGTGAATTTGATTTGAAAAAAAGTCGAACACGCTAACGATAGCGAAATGTACAAGAAAAAATGAAAACAAGAAAAAATCAACCCTCTATCACAGTATTCCACACAAAGAGAAACAACCGCAAATCATTCAAGGAGTCCCCATATGAGTCTCATGCGCATGCACAGAAGTATTTTGCGTCTGCTCCAAAACCACCGCATAGAATTTCCCTTCTTCGGAGATATCATGATACGGACCTGCAGAAACAACCGCCCTATTCAAATTAGCATGTGATTTTATATTCGAACAGAAAACGACATCAAGAAAAGCCGACAAAAAAAAAGAGAAGGAAAAAAGAAGAAAAGAGAAAACATACCACCCCTTATACTTCGGCTGATTAAAGATATCCGTAAATACCCTCAGCACCCGCAACGGTAACTCCAAAATCGAAGGCAACTCAGGTCCATCACCGCAAATCGGTAACCCCAGTTTGTTGACGGGGAGGTAGATGGTCTCTGCGACGTTTTGCGGGTTGCGCGTCTCCTGGAAGATGAGGAGACGGCGCGAGGCGTGATGCGACGGCCCTGGTCCAGACGGTGGTCTGGTATTTGCGCTTGCGCTCATGCTCATCGTGAAGGTTTTTTGAGTGTGTAGAGATCGTAATAAGTCTTTGCGGAGACTTGGGTTGGATTTTTTTTTCTTGGACTTGGGGTTTGGGGGGATGGGTTGTTCAGTTTGGCTGTTTCTTTTTTTTTTTTTTGATTGTTTTTTTTACCCTGACTTTTGGGGTTTGGATTGTTTAGCGCTTTTTCTGGTGTTTATTAGTATGCGCTTCTTTATATATCCAAAGCTTCTTACTTATTGACAGTGGCTTGTATGGAGGGCGCGACAGGCTCTGCTTATCGTTGGGCGATCAGTGACCCGATTAGGAGATCGCGGGGCAAAAAAGGGGGAATTAAGAAATGTGAAGTTATATTGAATGAAGAAGATGAAGATGAAGAGAGATGAAGAGAGATGAGAAGTCAAGTGTTAGTTTTAAAGGGGGAAAATACTTACCAACAGAGGGTACTTGATAGGAATCTTATGATTGTACCACTGGAATTCTTAAATCTCATACACATACATCATGACATTAATTAATTATTCCTAAGATACTCTAGAGTCTCTAGACCTAGGTATAAAATCACAGTCAACAAAGAAAAAAAAAAGCAATGGGTATCATGATAATGTGGCCGAAGACAAGTAAAAGAAAACAAAAGAACGTCAATCCCACAAAATCAGGGATAAATCATGGTATATGGCATCATTCACTATGCGATGCGATGAAAAGCAAGATCAAATCAAGCATCAAGCTCTCCCTCCAGCACTCTCCGCGCAGCATCCAGACGACGCCGCAGCACACGCGCAGCCTTCACATCTGGATCCGAAGACGTCGTGATCGTCTGCAGATCCATACAAACCTTACCCAGACTGCCGAACAGCGCTTCCAGCATCTGTGTATCATCATCGTTGATACCGCCGACAGTGGGGGTGCTGGATGCCGCACGCACGGTCGAGACGAGGGACGAGACAAGGGAGGTTGGGGTTGCCGAACCGGCCGTAGCTGAGGATGAACGACCAGTAATTTTATGAGGGGAAAGGTTGTTCGGGTCCACTGGAGTGAGGTTGCCGCTGTCGTATCGTGGGCCGCGCGGTGTTTCAGAACGATCACCCTCAACCTCAACCTCTTGGATGGGACTTGGTTGGTAGCTGTGACTGTGGGCGTGGCCGTGAGGATGAGATTGGGAATGGTTACGGCTATGGCTATGGCTATGTCCATGTCGCAGCTCTGTCGAAGGGTTAGTATGAGTGTCGAGAATGCCAGGGAAACGGATCGCGGGAACGAACCATGATTGAACCGTCGGTCCCAGTACATCACACTGTCAACGTCGTCCTCGTCGTCGGGACGCTCGCCCTCGTTGGCGGTTGCAAAGGTTGCCACTGTCGAGACGGACATGTCGCTGTTGGTACGTGAGTGTCGCGATTTGTATGTGGGCCGGGTTGTCGCGACGGATCCGTTCGAGCTGTTGCTCATCCGACGGAGTTGCTGGGTATAGTTGCCCAGTGCGCTGTGCAAGATGAAATGCTCGTAGTCGAACGCATCCTCGCGCATCTCGTGGGGTGTCGCGTCTGTGTGCAATGGCACGTCAGGGAAGGCTTCCATCTCGTTCTCGAGGTCATCGTCAAGCGGTTCACGTAAGATCTCATCCAGAGCTTCGCGGTCAATGTCTCCATCGAAATCACCTTCTTCGGCATCTTCGTACATGGTTTCAGCGACGGATTGGTCATCGGCATAATCAGTAGGCTCATTGCCTTGCCAATTACCAGCGTGTTTGGATGAATTTCCAGCAGCATGTTCCTCAGATCTGCGTCGGTCTTCCGCCGCTACATCGACCGAGGCCTCCCGGATGTTTTCAGAGCTGGTGTCACGTCGAGGGTTGGAGCCACGACTGCTCTGACCATCTCTGAGCTCCAGCGCATTCGCATACCAGTGATCAGCGGCCGTCAATGGGCTGGGCGTGCGCAAGCTCTGCAAGCTGCGCCGACGAAGATTATCCTCCTGGGTCTTCACCTTGAGAGAAGAGATCTTGATGTGAAGACCCTTCATCTGATACTGAAGATCACGCACCTGCAGTTGCGATTGCGCGCGGCTAGGGGGACCATAGGAGCTGTAGACTGGACTGAAACCATCCGGGCTGGATTTCGATCCATCCGAGGAAATTCCCAAGCCATGCGGCGAGTCTGACGAACTGTCTTCGGTGGAAACAGGTGACTGCGACGCCTGGTCCTGTTCCTCCTGGTCATTCACATGTATCGGAGGCCGAACAGAAGAAACCGATGACCGATGCGTCAGATACGCCCTCGTAGGAGCATAAGGGAACGACCGATCATCCGTATGAAGACTGGACGAAGTGCTTGCGCCCATGGCACTGACCGAGCGCGAGATGCGCTTACTATCATTTGAGAAGCTCGAATCAGACGGAATATTCGTCTCAGAGTGTCCTCTCGAATGGCGATTATTCGTCGTATCCTGCGACGCAATAAGCGACTGTCGTCGAAGCGACGAGTTCTTAGGATCCGTGCGCGAAATCGACCGATACAGTCCGCCCACTGGCTGGTGCATACCCATTGGCTGGATATAACCCGAATTCGAGGGCGAGGGCGAAGCAGTCGTGCGCGTCGTCGACCGAGCTCGAGTGAGATTGTTTTCCATAAGCTGAGAAAACAAAGCGCGTTAGTACTACTACTCCGTAACCAACCTGCGACGCGCAAAACAGGACATCAACATACATTTAACCGTTTCTTCGCATTCTCCAGAATCCTCTCCGCCTCGCTACTCAGTATCGCCGAGGAAAACTCCTCCCCTGGCCCCTTACCCTCTGCAGCTGCAGACGCCACGGCATTACTAGCCGGCACAGAAGAACCCCCTGCAGTTGCAACGACGGCAGTAGCTTGCGCTCTCGCGACCTCGGGGTCAACGGGGGATTCATCGCGTCCGTTATGCGCCTCCGCCACATCCCTAGAAGCGGAAGCGCGTCTGCTCCCCGCACTAATAGTGGAATTGGAGCTACTCCATGCCGCATTATCCCTGTTCTGATCGTCGTCGTGCAGTAGCGGTGAGCTGGCCAGCTGTTCATCCGAATCGCCGAATCCCAATCTAGCGGGCGACAGCTCCTCGCCGATATCCGAGAGACGGCGACTGACATTCACGTCGTCATGTGTCCAGGCATGGCGGGAAAAATTTTTCTTTTGTCGGCCAGGTGCTGACATGGAGCCATTTTGGTCTGATTGGCGGGAATTGAGATGCGACAGGTAGGCGATTTGGGGTGGGGAGGGGGTTTGGGATTCGCGTTCGCCTTCGTATGGTAGGATCATTGACGGGTCTGACAGAGTGAGTGAGGGCATCTTTTTCTCTCTCTCTCAGGCCCTGGGGCCTGGGGGTTTTCCGTGCAGAATGGGTAGAAGAGAGAAAGAGTCGAAGTCGCGACGGGTTGGGTACCGTTACAGTTTGAAATCCCCTTAGACAAAGTACGGTTTAGCGTGCCGTGATCATTGCCTCATTGGGATCTTTTGTTGTGAAGATATTCCCAATTTCCTATCTCATAAGTAAATATAGAAGTAGGTCAATGGGGATTAGGCTCCGACTACCCTTGCGCTTGTCAATAGTAGTAGTTTAAGTAGTATTAGGTATAAATAACAATTGATAGATCAGATCAAATTTTTACTATGTTGTATATAACACGACTATAAGCTTTCTCGTATAATAAGATTACTAGGTAAATCCATGTCTTTGTACTCCATAAATGCTGTAATTCCTTTTAATTGAGGTTGTCTCCAATTCGTATAATCATGGCCCTCGATGTGATGTATACCCATGTACGAAGTACAACGTACATACACTATAGGATGCATTGTTGCAGTAAGGATATGATCCAGACACTTTTTAATTGCATATAACATATAATCACGGCCGAATCCATTATTTTCCCGTTAAAATAAAAATGGACGAACCCCTGAGACCACCCGTAGGAGTTCCACATTGGTGGAGAATGTAATTTCAGGAACATCGCAACGTTAGAGAGAAGAGAGAAAATTTGAGAAAATGAGAAAGAAAAAATGGAAGAAAAGAAGAAAAGAAGAAAAAAAAGAAATGTATGCTTTTTTGTATACAACGTAATTACACATGCAATAATCCCGTAGAAACGCTTATATCTAGATCTTTGAAAGCAACAACTTCGCACCACTGCTAGCCGGGCTGGGCTTGGTCTTTCCATCCTTCTCCACGGTCAACGCCGAGGCCTGCTCCAGCGCCTTCTTGTTCTTCTTCAGAGTCTTGAGCAGCTCGCTCTTCTTCTCAAAGTCCTCAGACTCGGCCAGCGCGACAACCACGAAGGGGTTAGCCCCCGTGGCCCACTCCACGACCTCATCCTTGATCTGCTCGTACAGCACATTGTGGAAGTTCAACGCAGGCTCCACCTTCTCAATGGACTTGGTGGCCGGGTTGAATCGTCCACCCTGCACAAGAGACTTGAGAAGACGTCCGGCGTGTGCGGTATCGCGGGCTTCAGTGTGCGACTTGGCGGCCTCGGCCACGGCCGCGAGAGCAGCGGTCTTGTCACCGTCAGCCTCGAACAGCACCTCGGAGAGGAATTGGCAGCCGAAGGTTGTCTCGAGGAGGGTAGAGGCGCGGGCAGCGATAAATTCGAGCAGGGTCGGCGAAGCAACCTTGACGAGTTCCAGACGGCGGATGGCCGGTTCTTTCTTGGAGGTCTCCTTGCGAACCTCGCGGACTTCTTCGAGGACGGTTTGGTCAGCCTCGGGGAGGAGCCACTTGACGCGTTCGCCGGCGAAGGGGTATAGCACGGCGATACGGGCGGTCAAGTCGTTGACCTGGTAGCAGAGCTCCTCGTGACGAGTCTCCTCTGGTTCGTTCTGGTTCAGAAGCTCGGGGAAGAAGGACTTGGAGCTGAGTTTGGTGTCATCGATGACCTCGTACGCGGCAAGGATGACCTGGTGACCGTAGACGTCGCCGGCCATGGCCTTGACGGTGTCGCGGTAGAATCGTAGAAGCAGCTTGCGGTCTTTGGCGTTGGAGTATGCGAAAGTCAAACACATCAAGCGGGAGCCGGACTTGGTGAAAGCCAAGTTCTTGACCAAGTCACCCTCTTCGTCGCCCTTGAGCAACTCGATGAACTCGTTCGCTTCGTTGCTGCCGGGTTTTGTGTTGAGGAAATATTGCAACATAGCATCGTGAAGCATGGTGAAACCAGTGCTCTTCTTCTGCACCAGCTGGTTAATGAGCTCGCGCAAGTAGTTCATGATGGGTCCACGCTTCTCGGGGTGGGCTTCGATGATCTTGGTGAGATCGGAAGTGGTGTCGTTCTCATCTTGGAAAATGACAAACTCGGGACCGTACCACTCGCGGAGGAGTCTCGCCTTCTGTGCCTTGGTCGCAACTGTGCGGTAGATGTCGTCAAGAATCCATGAACCCTCGGGGTGGCGGATGAGACGTCTGACATGGCCGTAGAACTCTGGGATGATCAAATCGCGGGTCTCGTCGTCTCCGTGGACAATCAGCTTTCCAACCAAGAACTTGGCGTATCGACTTTGTGCCAGCTCCTTGTAAGTGCCCTTCAACTCATGCGCGATCAGCTTGCGCTGCTCGAGGTTTCCGTACTTGAGAGCAGTCTGAATAACTCGCACCGAGTCGTGCTTGAACACAAAGTCGCGAACACGGCCAGTGATGATCTCAAACAGCTCCTTGACAAGCTTCTTTCTCTGCTCCAGGGGCACGTGGGACTTGCGGCGCAGCTGCTCCCACAACTTCTTGGAGCGAGCGACGGTATCGGCATTGGGCTTCGCGGCCTTGCGCTCCTGCTGGAGTACTTTTTGCTTGAGATGGGATTCGCGAGAGTCTAGACGCGCAATAAAAGATTAGATGGGGCGCCGTCAAGGAGGCAGAATTGAAACTTACTGTTGGGGTTGGGGTTGGTGTTCCTTGGGGCCTCTTTGCGCTCTTCGTCATCCCCATTGGACTTCTTGTCTGACTTGGGCTTCTCCTCCTCCTCGCTCACATCGGGCATCTCATCGTCTGAAAGGGCATCAAGGGCATCAATATCTTCGTCGGAGACATCGTCAATGTCGAAGTCATCATCGTCCTCGGATTCTTCCTTCTGAACCTTCTTCGAGGGCTTCTTGTCGCTCTTGCTGGATTTGAAATCCTTCTTGGAGTCCTTCTTAGATGAAGAGCTTGACTTCACGCTCTTGGACTTGGATGCGGAGCCTTCCTTTGTCTTGCTCCGCTTGCCATTGCGCTCCTCGCTGCCGTCGACAGCACGCTTCAATCCAGCCATAATGAAAGATAATTTCTGTAGGCTGTTGGGTATCTCTGAAAAAAAGTAATAAAACCGGGGTCTTTACGAGCGGATACTGCTCGATGTCCTGGTGGATAATTTTTTTGATTGCAGGCGGAGGAAGTTTTTTTGCCGGCTGTTTGCACAGTTTGCACCGATAAGATACAAAACAGCCCTGGGGTTTACTACCAGGTTCATCCACATAGCAACGTATTAAGATAGATATTTCTACTGAATTTCTTACAGAAAATAAGATTGACTTATATATGAAGATTCAAGGGACGATCTCCATAGAAGTTATATGAAAATAAAATGTAGGATATTGTCGCTGAACGAAGCACAGATGGCCCGAGTCGCAACTCGATGGCAACAGATGTACAAAATGCTAATAAGTGACATGAGCCACCCAGACTCTCCGAGGACAAAGCGATCCCTATTACCATCGACCAAATCCGAAATTATATCACCCCTTAAGCGAGTGTGGCTTGCATCACCCGAAACAAACCCAAAACGCCGGAGAGAACCACAACGCATTAAACATATCTCGTCACTCATCATTTCATGTCTCATCAGCTGGCGCAGGTGCAGAGGGATTTACTTTCACAGACCCCAGTTCTGCTCCGACACCACTCTGGCCGCGCTTCCGGCCGGGGATGTGGAAGTTGAAGGACGAGGTAGAAGACTTGGGCCCGGGTGATTGCGCATCGTTAGTAGAGTCACCGAATCTAGAGAGGAAACCCTTCTTCTTAGGTTTCACCTCGTCGTTTAGGCCTACTTCTTCGAAGGCTTCTTCCTCCATAGGGTCAGGCTTAGTGAAGCTGTTAGAGTGAGTGCCCGATGGGGTTAATCGGGAGAATCGAGAGTCAAGAGAAGTTCGAGAGGGACCAGAATCGGGATGGATTATGGGTGAGCGGGCGGAGATATCCTAGATTAAAGATTTCATGTCAGTTGGGGATATATGCGGATCGGTTCGGATGGCGGGGCATACAAAGGATCGGCGATAAGAGTCGAAGGACTCGCGAGAGATGGAGAAAGGCTCATTCTCGTCAACAAGATCTCGATGATTGATGGATTTATTGGAGCCCGGGTACCGGCGCCAGAAACTCGGGCGCTCGGGGGGAGAAGGCTGTCGCAGTAATTTTAGTAGGTATATCACATTTTCCCGATCAAAGAGCCTATACCGGAAGATAGACGCCGCTGTCATTGACCACTAAGGACCGGGGTTAGTATTTCAAGAGAGCCAAGTCGCCACTGCAGCCACTGCAGTTACTGCAGTCACAACAGTCACAACAGTGGGGTGGTTCAAACATACCACTCAATTTGTATTCGGAGGGTTCATCCTGGCTACTACGGATCGGTATGGGCGCTGGGCGTTGATTTGGAGAAAGTAAATTCTCATCTGAGACAGTGGGATCCCCATTGATTTGGGACTTTCGTCCTAGAAAGTTGCGAAATGGAGGCATAGTTGAAGAAGTGAAGTAAGATGGGAGTTGTGAAAGGGTTTAAGGTGAAACAATCGTCCGATTCCCCTACGTCATCCAAAATGAAAATAATGAAAGTTGTGCAAGCCAATAGGATTGAAATGTCTAAAATGATATTTTTGGTCCCTGATCCAGTTCCTGAACCTCGGTGCACATGCAAATTGGAAGAAATAACATTTACTTCATACATTTCAAGCCTAACGAATATAAAGCTCTAGAGCTACAGATATCAAAAAAATAAAACACCCTTCAACACCCACGAACACCCCCAATTAGAAATATCAGAACATCCCCATATGTCTGATATGTTCTATCGTAGTTCGCTTGAAAATAGATCCACCTGCAAACAAACTCCATAAGCAAATCAGACCCAAGACCAGCCTCAAAGAGACTTGGACTGACGCCATGCATTTCGCTATCGCTTTCGTAATGGCAAGTTTCACCAGCAATTGACCTACACTGACAACGCAGACGAAAAAAAGGTGACTCGGACATTGTTGTTGGTTCCCTTTTGTTTTTCGAAATTTTGTGGTTTTTCGATTTTTGTAGTGATTTTTGGCTATTCATGATT